TTTGTTTGTTTGTTTGTTTGTTTTTTCACTTTCTTTCTTATTTTAATCATAATTACGTGACCAAGAGCTTTTTTTTTTTAATTTTCTTTTTTGTGTGATCTTTTAAGTTTAACTAACAACATTTCCTTCAAAAAAAAAAAACGAAAAAAAAAATAAATAAATAAACTGCTAATTTGAATTTGTGCAATTTTTTTCTCATTTTTTTTGTTAATCGTAATGATGTAGCCAAGAGCATTTCTACGATCTTTTAAAGTCAAAGTCATAACATTTTCTTCAAAAGTGCTACTTTGAATTTATGCAATCTTTTTTTTTATTATTATTATTATTATTATTATTATCATAATGATGCGGCCTAGAGAGCTTTTCTACGATAGGGGGAGAGACCACTCATAGAGAATCTTACTGTAGAACTTTACAACTTGCGTTTAGACACGTTGATATAAAAGACGGGCTCGTTGAGAAGCTCTTTTCAACGGTCTTACGCTTCCATTAATTCAAACTCTGAGATAGAATGTATGAGAGAGAAAGAGAAAGAGAAAGAGAGAAAGAGAGAGAGAGAGAGAGAAATGAATAAGACATAAATACATATACATTGGACGGCCATTAGCATTCGTCCTCTTCACGTACCTATAATAATTCGAGAATAGCAGTTAAAGTTGATTCACCGTTAAAACTTTGTATACCATTTGCGTATAGTAAAATGAACAACAGGAAAAAAAAAAACCCCAGATCAAAATCATTTTACAATTATTACAATTTCAATGAAATTCATTCAATTATTTATTTCACATTATCGATTAAATTATAACTGTAATTTTTTTTTTTGGATAAATCATATTATATCTAATATATATAGTATATTATTATTATTATTAACTGGTATTAGGAACTGGAAAGTTCATTGCCGCAAATACCAAATTCCGCCATTGTTCCGTCCCTGAGCGCGGTCCTTCCATTTGCAGTCTTCATATCCTATTTCTTTCATATATATATATATATATAATCATATGTTAATACATATTATGTATACATTACATACATRCATATGTACGTATACATACGTAAACATAAATTCGTGCAAAAATGAACAAGATATACATTTTGTATAATTGGATATTAACGAGAATAAAGTGTGAGGTAATTGGGTAGAATAAAATAAAATAAAATAAACTAAAAAGATAACACACACACAAACACATATAAACAAATTAGAACAATGAACAATTTGATTGAACACATTTTTTGTCGTTGCAAATAAATTAATTTGGCAAAAGATTCAGAGTTGAAAATTCACGAATTGGGGAGGATATTTGAGAAGATTATTACAAACGATATTACATTATCCCAACTATGAGAGAGAGAGTGAGAGAGAGAGAGAGAGAGGGCGTTGGAGTAATAAATCGATATCGTAGAAGGCGATCGAGATTAATTACAACGTTGCTAATTACATTTCACGTTTCATCTTATCCTAATTACGGTACGTAGATAACCACTAAAGCCAATTACCTTCTTATACGAACTCAAAAAAAACTATCCTTTGTGTTAATATTACTCATAAAAGATTAAACCATTAAACCATTCAATGATATATATATATATAATAAGATAATTCATGATTTTAATTATGAGTCTAAACATTTTTATGTGCATATTATTAGTAATATTATAATTATTATTATTTTTCAATATGGTGATCATCAGTTTTAAATGAATGTTTCGCGTGATACACGATATATTGTTCATACATGTTAAAAAATGAAACGTAGTTTGTAACCTCGTTTACTATTCGTTATTTTAGTAAACCAAGGACAGCATAGTTAATTCAAAACCGATTTAATCAATGGCATGTTTTTGTCTTTGTCTATTCTTCTTGATTACTTGCGCATCTAACTGATTTTGTTTCTCTTTTCTTTCTCTCTCTCTCTCTCTCTCTTGTTATTTTATCTTTCTTCCTTCTCAATCAAGGGCACCCACGCTCATCATCATCTTCTTCTTCTTCATCATCATCATTTCTTTTCTTTCTTTCTTTCTTTCTTTCTTTCGCTTTAGGTCTATCTATCTTTTTCTAACTTCTCACACCTTCTTGTTTCTCATTTTACGCCGTAAGATATGCAAGTATACTTAACCTAATTTTCACAGACACGTTTTCATTTCGCAGGATCATCGTGCGATATTTTTGCATTGTTTTTCTATTAAAACTCACCTCCATTTTTTACCTTTCCTTTTTTTTTGTTTTTATCTCACAATTCTCGTAACATTGTTCACAAAATAAATTTTATCCAAATGTAATTAAATATACGTATATAATACGTCCGCCATTTTATTTTTCTTCTTCTTTTCTTGTATTTTTTCTCTTCATTTTATTTTCTAATTCTATCTTATTTTTTGATTATTTTTTTTTTTTACTCAATTTACTTTTATTCGTTCCAGAAAAAGAAAAAACAAAAACATTTTTATGAATGTATGTACTTTCTTTCAGGGATACTTATTTTGGAGTGGGTGGGGGGTGGGGGTGAGAGGAGGGGGAAGGGTTTATTCACATTTAAACGTAGTATGCATGAATAATTATATTTACATAAATCATACAAATTGCATATTACAATCCCCCCTTTACGAAGATTAACATATAATGCGTATATACTCGTGTCTAGTCAAAATAAAAGATAAACAAATTACGATGTAATAATATAAATTGTAATTTATATTATAGATTTATTTGATATTTTTTAAATCATTATTAAAACATTAAGAATTAAGAAACACAATTCATTATTTCATAATTATTTCAATGTTTGAATAATTCGCGCGCAAAATCAAGTTCCGGTCCCCTAGCAATGTACATGACGCATCCCTCCAATAGGATACCTAATAAAGGAAACCATATCACCAAATAATATTGTTATTACATTTTATTGAGATTTCTAAGTTTTTATAGTGAATGGTAATTTGTTATTTGACACGACGAGTATACACGTCAAACGCATACCGCAGTAGAGATTTGGTGCGACGTGTATACACGTCGAACGCACTTAACTGATTCATTTAAACGCAATAAACACATACTACAGTAATAATCTGATAAATGATGTATTTTTTATTAAAATTTTGTTATTTTTTTTTTTTTTTCCTTATTTCAATAGAATAATATTAATGATACACGTGACTTTTGTCTTACAATCAATTACATGCAAATGTTTAACAAAATTTATTTTCTTATGAATATACATGGTAAGAAACATCTTACAATCACATCCATAAAATATTGTTACGATCTTTGTTATATCGTATGAGAGAAACATGCGTAATGTTTCGTTTATGACCGTATAAATGTCGCGTAGGAATGATTACGTATATTATATATGCATTCACATTAATTACAATACGTTGAAGACATCCGTTTAAATACTTGACAACGAGTACACTCGTATACTTATTTTTATTATTATTTTTATTATTATTATTATCATTACAACATACATACGAATCTTTGATGTTCTTTTCTCAGATATCTTCTATCACTTGAAATTTTATCTTTCGATAGGAGTTGAACACAAAATTTCCGTAAAAAAATAATTTTACCTTAAAACGTTCGCTTGATTCATTTTTTTTTTTTTACACAGAAAGAAATTCGTAATACTTGTTTCATTGAAAAATAATTAATAAATAAATTATTAATAATTAATTAT